ATACCGCCAGGAAGGTTAATCACCACTGGGGTTTTTCTTTTTTACTATATAACAAAAAAGTACCCTAAATTTTTGAAGAAAAACTTGTTTCCCTATGAAATGTTATGAAACATTTTTTATCACCTCAATTTTTTGGTAAAATATAAAAAGACGGGGTCACATCATGTAAACAGACACCAAACATGTCAAGCTTTAAAATTGCGCGCGCCCACGAAATCGCAGAAAATGACAACACCCAAAATTGCCCATAGGCGACGCTTTAAAAGCTTTTACCGCTCATCAGTTTAGTGTTATCAGTGATTAATGGCCTTAAAATGATTACTCTCATTCTGACGTTCGCGGCGATATGCAACATGTGCGGCACAAAAGGTGGAATTGTCGTTTTCGCACGTTCGGCACAAAAGGTGGAATCGTCGTTTTCCACAAAAGGTGGAATCGTCGTTGGGCGCACCCAACGCATGTTTGCATGTGTATGTGGAGGGGGCGGGGGACTTTACACATTTTTTTGTGTTATTTAAAAAAAAATATATATTTGTGACTATTTTTTTTAAGCTGTCATTTTTTTTTAAACTTTTTTTTTTACACTTAACTTTATTGCTATCACATAGGGGACTAGGAAATCCCCTATGTGCCAATTAACATCACAGATCCTCTTTATGGAGACATCAGACCCCTAATGTCACCTAGGGACCCCCAGAGAAGAGAGATCTGCTTCATCAGCTTCTCACCGGCATCTGTAACCGGAGTGCGACACTGAATGCATGTAATATACATCACTTCCTGCATTCGGGGACCAGAGAGGAGATCAAAGGGTGATGTGTAATTAACTCCTTCTGATCTCCACTGACAGCATCCCCGTGCAGGTCCCAGCCACAATGGGCACAGCGGATCTCACGCAGCTACTACAAGCGATCGGGTGTCTCTAAAGACGCCCAATCGCTTGAATGTAAACAGCCATCGCTGGCTGTTTACATTGCTGACAGTTTGCCCACTCGTGTGCGCGCTGCATGAGCCAGGTGAGGGGCAGGACGTCTGAAGATGCCCTCCCGCTCCTATAAGGCTCCTGTCCGGCCGTTCAGGAACGGCCACGGACGGGAGGTGGTTAAACCTTAAGGGCAGGTTCACACCATTTTCTGGACCAGATCTTGAACGCAGTGCAATGCATTTTTGCCACGATTTTGCCGCGTTTGGCATTTTTTTGTTGCTTAAAATGGTCTTACATGTGTGTTCCAGTGCGTTTGTATGCATTTCTGATTCGTTCCAGAGCATTCCAGACAAAATAGGACAAGCAGTATTTTTCTGGTCTGGAACGGATTGTGCTGGTGTGAACAGAGGCCAGAAACTACAGTGTAGGGGGTGGAAAAATAACGGATTTCTTTAGCAACATCCCTGGTGGCCCCGCACATCCTCATTTGCCCCCCACATCCTCGTTGACCCTGCACATCCCCGGTGACACCGCATTTTTCTGGTGACACCAATCACTGGTGACCCCGCCCATCCAAGTGACACCAAATAATCTCTGGTGACCCCGCACATGCCCGGTGACACCGCACTTCTCCGGTGACACCAAACAATCACCGGTGTCCCCACACACCCGCAGTGACACTAATCTCTGGTGACCACACACATCCCGGGTGACCCCACACATTTCCGGTGACACGAAACAATCTCCGGTGACTCCGCACATCCCCGGTGACCCCGCACTTCTCCGGTGACCCCGAACATCCCCGGTGAGACTGCACTTCTCTGATGACCCCACACTTCTCCGGTGACCCCACACATCCCCGGTGACACAGCACTTCTCCGGTGACACCAAACATCCCCAGTGACACCAAACAATCTCTGGTGACCCCGCACATCACCGGTGACACCGCACAGTGGGGGGATCTATCAAAACTGGAGCAGGCAAAATCTGGAGCAGATTTGCTCTGCAGCCAATCAGCATCTCTCTCTCATTTTCAAATCTTAACTGAGCAAACTGAAGAGAGAAGCTGATTGGTTGTCATGGGCAACAGCTCCAGATTCTGTTTGCTCCAGTTTTGATCAATTACCCCCAATGTCTTTTTAATTTACCACAAAAAACACAAAGGTGGAAATGTCCTTTAACCAGTTGACATCCGCGGTGTTAAACCCCCTTCCCATCCAGGCCATTTTTCAGTATTCAGCGCTGCGGTACTTTGACTGACATTTATTCCGTCATGCAGCGCTGTACTGAAATGAATTTTATACCCTTTTTTGGGGACAGATAGAGCTTTCTTTTGGTGGTATTTATTCACCACTGGGGGTTTTATTTTTTTACTATATTAAGGAAAAATTACCGAAATTTAAAAAAAAAAACAGTTTCCCCTATATTAAATGATAAAACATTTATTATTACCCAATTTTTTGGTAAAATATAAAAGATGGGGTCACGTCGGGTAAAAAGACACTAAACATGTCAAGCCTTAAAATTGCGTGCGCGCGCGAAACCTCAAAAAACGATAATACCCAAAATTGGCCCTAGGCGACGCTTTAAAAGCTGTTACCGCTCATCAGTTTAGTGTTATCAGTGATTGATGGCCCTAAAATGATTGCTCTCACTGCGACGTTCGCGGCGATATGTAACATGTGTAGCGCAATTGTAATTTTTGCGCGCTGGGGCACCGGACGCGTATTTACGTTTATAGGCGCGTAAACGTGGGGGTGGGGGAGTTAAACATTTTGGGGGGGTTTTTTCCCCTTTTTTTATATGTGACTTTTATTTTATTTTACTTTTTTATGTGTTACTTTTATTTTTTTTTATTTATATTTATTTTTTTGCACTTATTGTTATTGCTATTATATAGGGGGATAACAACCCCCTATATAATAGCAAAGGCACACTGACAGGTCCTCTTTATGGAGATATTAGGGGTCTCTAGGACCCCTAATATCACCTGTGGACCCCAAAAGAAGCTGATGAAGCAGAGATCTGCTTTATCAGCTTCTTCTCTCTGGCAATAGCAGCCAGATGACTGACAGGTGAATGCGGAAGTGATGTAATACACATCACTTCTGCATTCACAGCCCGGACGGAGATCAGCAAGGAGCTGATCTCCCGTCCTCCTCCTCCTGACGACCTCGGAGCCGGTCCCGGGATCCAAGATGGGGCAGCGGATCCCGGGAATCAAGGTGAGGGGTCTGAGGTGCCGCGCGTGTCGGGATCCTCTGGCAGTCGGCGGCCAGCTAAATTAGGACCCCACCTGGAGCTCCTCCCACTGGACAAGCGCTGACTCGCCGCTGCTCTCCCGCACCGAAGGTAAGTGAAAAAAAAAAACATAGCGCAAACATCGGGGCATTTTGACAAGTACAAGTACTTGTCAAAATGCCCTGTTTTTTCCGCCCTCACCCTGCAGCGCCCTCAGGCGGCCGCCTGACTTGCCTTGCGGTAGCACCGGGCCTGTCTACACACCGTGTACATTGCTGGCAAATGTTTTTTTTTTAAATGCCCCGCAAAGGTGGAAATGTCCTTGAATCATCTTAATTTCAGATCCCTGCCTGTTTTCATAAATAAAATCCCGGTTTTAATCAATGTAAAAGATCAGTGGGCCTCTCTCTTTATATTATGGCCACCTTAATTTAAAGCAGCCATTCAACTGGGAATATTCTCATTAGACAAAATACCAGACTTTTTCCATTTTCTATACAGTATTAAAATGTTGCTTTTGCTCTACCATAGGGGATTTTACTTCCAGACATGAATTTAGGTAAATAGAGTATACTCTCTTACACATACTGTCTGGTGTCACACCCTCCACACTCCTCTCCTGCAAATATAGTCCGCCATTAAACCCTAGGCAATACTCTTGTACATACAGCCTGTTGTCACACTCCTCTTCTGCACAAACCGCCTGCTGTCAAACCCTTCACACTTCTCTCCTGCACATACTGCCTGTTGTCATATCATCCACAGTCATTTCCTGCACATGATACACATTCTCATACTCTCTGCACTCCACTCCTGCCTATAATGTCCACTCATTAGCCATCTCTCCTGCACGTATTGCCTGCTTGCACACACTGGCCAATAAGACACTTTTTTTGGCTTCATAAAATATACTCAACCCTGCCTATTGTGGAATGGCCAAACTTTTCTAGTACATTAAAAATAAATAGTGAACAGTAATATTATGACATCTTACCTTATTCTCAGTTGCAGGCTGACAATCTTCCAGTCTTACCCCAAAAGCCCGTGGAGGGCTCTTCTTGTTCTTTTTTATGATATTAATACCCCAAGGGACCTTGGATGAAACTCCATCCTCTGCTAAGAAAAAGCAGATACAGTTTAAGGAAGCTTCATTTAAGGGAAAAAGTCACTTTCTTTTGCATAGTGCATGGAACAGTATCAGAAGAAACACAAACCTACATACAGGGCTGATACATACAAAAACTTAAAAAAAACGGGTCTATGAAACAGGATGTTATGTAAAACACTCGTGGGTGCACTTGAGCCCAGCCAGCACTTGTACTCTGTTCAAATCTATCTATTCTGCTTCTGCATGCAGGCAAAGACAGGATGGGTCAAGCTGGCCATCAATTCTGGATAGCAAATTTGTATATCAGCACACCTAGGGTCCCTTAGCACTTAGTGGCACGCTGCAAAGTAACTGAGTATACCTAGCTTTGGATAAAATAGCTTCTTTACTACTTTTTGAATAGAAAGGTCTACTTTAAAGGAGATCTAGAGTTTTTTTTTTTGTTTGTTTAATAAGACATGCGGGGCTCTAGGCTAGGACCGCCCTCCAAAGCTTATTGGTCACAGCACATGTGCTAAAAATAGATCTAAGAGAGACACATCCCTTCCAATGCAATAATCTTAACTAGTGGATTGACAGCCTGTTAGAAAAAAGGAAGGTAGTGCTAGGTTTTCTTATAAGAATAATAAATATGGGGGGGGGG